GTATACTTGACTCATGAGTTTTCTATGTTAATTGTATATTTGTACATGCATGCTTAGACATTGAATAACTTATTAATATGGTTTAGTATACTTGGAAAATGTATGCTTGTATGTTGTAGAACATGTTTTAACATTACTTAGTATACTTGAACATGTATACTTGTATGCCGTTGTTTACTTTAAATTGCATAAATAGCTTAGGATGATCCCTGAGTCTCACACATAGACGTTAGGTGGCATGAGCTCCTTTAACATGTTTCACCTTAAGGTGATATAATTGTAAAATGCTAGGTCGATGCATGTTCATCTCCTACGAGTAGCTTTATGTTACTTACCCACGTAGTGGGGACATTTTTCAGGTACAGGGACCTTGATTTGGGATGCACACTATGCCACAGAAGTTCGTAGACTTGAAGTATCATTTTCATGAAAATGTTGACATGAAATTCTATTTGTAGCTTTGTATGACAAAACTTGTATTCTTTGATTTCATTTATGTAATGTGTACATAAATGCACTTTTCGTAAGGTAATTGATGTATATGACATGAGGCTAAGGGCCAAGCATGTTTATAGTTGCACTTGTACTCATTTGGTGCCTTATTTTGTTTAAAAATGTATTTTTATCAATTTTGGAGGTTTGGCATGCCAAATTTTGTGAATGAAATGTAATAAGGCCATAGGCCATTGTAACATATTTCAATATATAAAGTACACTTGCGAGCATGCTTGTATAGCTTAAAATCATGTTTTTGATCTACATTCATGTTGGGGTTTGAGGCTTGGGTGAAGCCTCAATAAATTTTGTTCATAACAGGACTTTTAGCAGCCCTTTGAGGAGTTTCGGTCGACCGAAATTCCATTTCGATCAACCAATGGCTCAAGTCGGTCTACCGAACCAGCCTTGCCTCAAAATTTAGACTTCAAAAATGTTTTTGTGAGTTTCGGTCGACCGAAACTCTATTTTGGTCGACCGAAATAGCCTACTTTCAGCTACTTTGTTGATTTTGTTTGGTTGTTGCTCCTTCAAGCTTGTACCAATTGATTTACTTCCACTTGACCTTGTTGATCTTGCTTGAGCCATTTAATGACGTACATGGTCTAGTTTGAACTAGATCTTGCTCCTTTGGTTGTCATTGGTGCCATAGGGTACCAAGTGACCTTTTCATTCTATCTTCGCTTTTAGTTATTCCTTTGGGTTACGTGACCTCATGGAAGGTTATTTTAGGGTTTTAGAGGTGTAATATGCCTTGAGAGACCATTATCTTATACCTTTTGCTTCTGCATCTGGATCCATTATCGGGTCAACTTTCGGGTCATCACTGATGCACCAGGGTTGAAAACCTCGGGTCGTTACAACTGATGTTACCAAACATGTTTTCATGTTTTTGCTTCCGAAGCGTGGACGTTACCAAACATGTTTTAATGTTTTGCTTCAATTTCAGGATGTTACCAAACATGTTTTCATTTGCTTTTTAAAACATTACCAAACAAGTTTCAAAACAGTATTCAACACATTATAAAGCAAAAACATTACTTCTACTTCGGATCAAAGTAAAAATACAAAGAAACTGTGGTTGTCAAACAGGCCCTTTTATTTTCTTGTATAAATTGGTCACTTATGTACTCCTATAGTTTTTATTTACTTATATTTAATTTTTTTTCTCATTCTTTACTTTTATTTATATATTTTTATCTATTAATTTTTATTTTTTTTAAGCTTTTGCTTTTCTCTATCATTGACTTAGTATTTTAAATCAAAGATCCCCACTACAGAAAAGTGACTCACCAAGTATTTAGGGTTCATATTGTCATTTAGTCAAAATTGGTTGCAATAATAAATTAAGACCACTCTTCTTAATTTGTTTTGGAATTTTTGATTCTCTAGTTTTTAAACTAAATTTGTGAAAGCTAACCGAGGTAATATGAACACGGATATGACACGACACAGATATGTTAACACGTTAAATTTTGTAAAAGTAGAACACTGGTACAGCTCGGATATGGTTATACTCTCTTTGTTCAAAAAGAATATCTTTTTTGGGAAACCATAACTCACAATTTGAGTCACAATCAAAAGAGACATTTATTTTGGGACAGAGGGAGTATATACATATGAATTTTTATGGAGTTTTTATATATATGTATTGAATAATAGTATTATAAAACTTTAATCCATTTATAATTTTTATATTAAGAGTTGTAATGACTTTTATATCATATATATACAATTATTCTATTATTTTGTCATAAAAATATTTTTATTTTAAATGAATAAATATCATTTAATGTTTCGTTTGTGGTCATATATGTATAATTTTATTTTTTCTTAAAGAAAAAACTTGAACACTTTAAAATGCGTTCATATTATTTTCAATATTATCGGTTTGTGTTAGAAATATTTGAAAGTGTTAACTTAAGTGTCCAAAAAGTGTATGAAATAATACAAATTTGTTTAGGGATACATATGATGTTTACACGTATCTGAGGAGTGTATAACGAGTATCAGTTTCTGACACGAATACGACACGATACGATACAACACAGGTACAACTCCTACATAGTAGAAGTGTTCGTACTTTATAGAAGCTAACGCTTCAATGTTATTCAAGTACTACTATTCTTACTTCTTTTTTTTTAAAAAAAAAAAAAAAAAACGCACTTTTTATATTTCAAGTATTTAATGATATTTTACTTTAAATAATATTAAAGTTATTATATCTTTTACGCTTTCAACAATATGGTTACAGAATATATTCGAGTTTTATCTAAAATTTTTTGGCGTCTTTATTACGACAGTAAACACACCATCAATGCGACAAACGTGGAGTCTTAAGACATAATTAAAATGATACATTATATTGCATGCTCTTTTGAATTATAGTGCATGCTATTTTTATTTAAGTCAGCCAATCATGATTACAAGTGTTTAATTATATGTTTCATGTTGCGGTTATCTTGCCACCGATTAGATTGTATGGCATCTTGATGTATTTATTTGAAAGTAACTTAAACATGTACAATATATAAATCTCAAACTTAATAAGGCTTTATAAATTGAAGATAAATTTGGGTTTTAAAAACCGGATTGTTTTTAAAAACCGGATTTTTTATTTTTATTTTTATTTATTTATTTATTTTTTTTGTGCCTTCTTTTAATGCAGATGAGTTGGGCATTGTGAATTTTTTCTTTTTCTTTTATTTTATAGTTCTTTAGTTTTATTCATAACCCATCAATGAATTCTTGATCTTCTTTGTCCTTTACTTTTCTATCTTGGATCTTCTTCGTGAAAGCTAATACTTGAGACATTATCCAACTAATTCTTTCAAGTGGTGTCTAAAAGAACAAAATTTATTTTACGATAACTCTTACTTTCTTTTTTAAATTTTTGACAAAGATTTTTACTTTTTATATTGCAAGTATTTTAAGATATTTTACTTTAAATAATAACTAAAGTTATTAGGTCTTTTATACTTTCAACGGATATATTCGTGTTTATCATATCATTTTTGTCATATTTGTAACAATATTAAACGCACCATTAATTATGAACATAGCGCATTAAGACATAAAAATGATGAGTAAATTATATTGCACGTTCTCTTGTTTAAGTTTGCCAATCATTATTACAAGTTTTTTTTTTTTAGTTGGTATTCACATATATATATCTCTTTTGACACTTGAACCCCTAACCTCCCTTTAGGAAGTAAATGGTTGATATCGCTAAGCCACTGACCCGTTGGTACAAATGTTAGATTGTTCGTTTAATATTTGTTATTATTGTGCCACCGACTATATTATTCAGCACCAGAGGCGGATTTAGGATTTAATTTCAAGGGATATTATGGAATACTTTATAAATTAGATTTGTGTTTGTGTTTGTGTTTATATATATATATATCTATATATTTCAAAATAAATGCCTTTTTTAGAAATTGTGACTCATTGTGAGTCACAGTTCCCAAAAAAGACAATTTTTTTTTGTACAAATGGAGTATTAATTAATGGGCTAGCCTGGCCAAGGAGGGTTTTTAGAAAAAAAAATTTAGGGGGATTCTATGTAATAATTTACAAATTACTTTGTACAAGTCTATATACTTAAAAATTTAATGAGTCAACTAAGGCTCGGGAGGACACGTGCCACTCCGTCCCTCTCTGTCACCTCGATGTATTTTATATAAAACTAACTTAAACATGGTAGTCTATATATCTCATACTTAACGAGGCTTTATAAACTGAAGATAAAATTAGATTTTTGTTTTTGAAAACCGAGCTGTTCTTCTAGTTGAAATTTAAACGATCTATACCGTTTAAAATTCGAAAATAATTTCTTTCTTTGTAGGTAAGGAAAATAAATTGAACAAGCTTTAAGGTAATAGAAGCAGGTAAGTTAGCTTTCTTATTTAGTTATTTATTTATTTATTTATTTTTTCATGTGAGTTGGGCATTGTATATATATATATATATACATTTTCAAAGCTTAGCAAAGATTTATAAAAATTTAAAAAACTTGGTTTTTTTTTTTGGGACCCAAATTTTCTTTTCTAAATTTGAGAGATTTTCTCCTACATGTTTAAGAATTGATCAAGTTTTTCATACCTTGTTGTTTGGTAAAGAAAATGAGATCAACATGATAAATTTTACTTCTTCTATTCCCTTTGATGAAGAAGATATTCGATGTACTTGATGCACCATTATCAGACCATCACAACTGTTCATATTCGTGTGTATATGTGCCCAACACGAACGACTATAATGTGTCCGTGAACGACTTTAATATGTCCGTGCAAATATCTTCTCCTTTCCAGGCATATCATGTTTCAAACTACAGTAATACTCTTCAATACAGTATTTTTTTTTTTTGTTTATATATATATATATATATATATATATCTATATATATAGTACATAAATATTTTTCTAATCGACAAATTATATTACTGTATATACGTTAAATAAGGTCTGTCAGACCTCTGGAGATTCTCTCCCCATGTTTGACCACCCACACAACTTTTTGTTTTTTGTTTTTTAATTTTTAATTTTTCATTTTTCATTTTTTTCCCTTCTTTTTCTTACTTCCTTCCTAAAAAGCCCTTAAAGATAACAAGATTATTTATCGCCTTTTTCTTTTTATTTGGTAAACCTGTTTTGCGGGTCCTGATCACATCACAATCACAATTGTCTTTTTCTTTTCTTTTCTTTTCTTTTCTCATTTTTCTATTATTTTTATTTGTCTGAATTAATCCTTTATATAAGGGGTAAAAGAGAGAATTGCTGTCTATGATCAATATATTTATTATTATTATTATTATTATTATTATTATTTATTCCTTTTAAAAAATAAAGTTCTTAATGAATTTGTCAAGTGGGGTTTGAAGTTTTGATGCTTCATGCTGGCATTTTGTCCAAACTCTTTGCACAAAAAAACGCACATACACACACAGATTTGCAAAATACATGACAAGAGTTATTAACAATGTGGTGGGGATGTGTGAATTTTGTTTTATTAGGCAACCACTGCCGGTAAATGTAAATATATATATATATTATTTATATATTACTAATATAATTTATTGTGCATATATATATATATATTGAAATAAAGAAGTGGTAAAAATGTCGAACATAGAAGGGCAAAAGAGGAAGAGTGCTCGCATTTCAGCACTTGAGACAGCCGCCCACAAAGACCAGAGAAACAGACAGACAGGAGGAGAAGCTTCTCAGAGGAATGCAACACCTGCATCAGCGCCTCCGCCGCCGTTCCGACCTACAGTCTCTGCGGGCTCCGGTAGCGGTGGTCAGAAGGAGAAGAGGCTCGACGAGGTCGCTGGTTCTTCTACTGCTCCTACAACTCGACAGGTGCTTTACCTTCCATTTAATATATATATATATATATATATATATATATATATAGAATTTATCAATCTTCTTGCATGCTTAGTTGATTAACTGCTGCTATGTTGTCATAGAAACATGGGGTTTGATTATTTATTGAAATGTAATTTCTTTTGATGAGAAATGATTAGTATATTGGAGTGTATTTGTGTCCTTTAAAGATGAATTTTGATATTTGAGTAATTGGTATTTTGGAATTTGCTATGAAATGTGATTTCAGTGTGAACCCAAATTTCAATTACTACTTGGATGTTGAGATATATGAATTTGACTCGATTGTGATTGTGATTTGGAGACACTGACCCTAAAAGGGTATCGCGGGTAGTCAGTCCGCCACATAATACTGTTGTGTGCTTAATTCTATATTATGCCGAAGGCCTTTCTAGTGACTGTTTGGCGTGGATGAGGCCTTCAAAACGGGCTTCTAAGCCCAAAAACGCATTTCACAACAATAATGATGTTTGGTGGAGATTATTATGTAACGGACTTTTGCCCAAAGCGGAAGTCATTGGAAGCCCGTTAGACTGAAGCCGAAAAACACAGGCTTTCTGAACGAAGGTAAACAGTATTTGAAGTAGTAAAATGAGTTTACAAAATTAAGTTATAACATATTTCTCCCTATATTAACTGATTCAATTGCAAACTCTATTTTCCCATTGATTGGTTTTTCTTTGCTGAAACTTCTTGGGATGTGAAGAATGACAAAAGAAAAAAAGAAGAAGAAAATACCATGCACACGAGTCAATTGATCGATCACCGGTAATTATTGCTCAACGTGGGCAAGCCATTGATTGTCTGGGGTGGTTTGGGATCAATGATGGGTAGCATGTATCAAGGAGATAAGAAGTGTACGATGACATGTGTTTAAGGCAATAGATAAGGGTTAAAAAGAGATAGAAATGGGAGTGGAGATTTATTTGGTCTATGTTGCTCTCCTAATCCCATGGAAGGTGAAATATGAGACTCCCCATTCAGTCAAGTTCTCTTTGAGGAGAAAATTCTATTCCTAAATGGTTTCTAATTCTTGCTACTGTAAAAAGCCTCCATTATCCTATTGAAGGTGAAATGTGTTTCTTTTTATGTCTATAAATTTATTCTACAAATTTTATTTATTTATTTTAGTTAATTATTATTTATTTTGCAATTAGTGATCAAAATCTTAATATAATTTGGATGACAAAATTGGTATTAATATGGTTCAACAATTCTATCAATTGTAATACATGTTAACATTAGATGTAAGGATATTATTGTAAATTTATAGTTATTTAAGTAGAAAAAAACTTTGGTAAAAATGATGTTCACCAAACACCTTTTTTTCTTTTTCAAATTCCTTCCAAAAAGTCATTCTTGTAAGTCCTTTAATTATAAAGGACTTCTCTCGTTAGGAAGCTGCTCCAAACTCTTGTAAGTCATTTAATTTCTGTTTTAGGAATGAATATCCCAAATTGGCCAACTAATAAAGTTAAAGGGTAAATTACATGGACCACCACTATGGTTTCTCATAATTACAAGGACCTCCCCTATGATTTTTGAAATTACATTGACCTCCCCTAATAATGAAACGTTGTTACGCGGACTTCCCCTCCTAGTGACGGACTAATGAACCTGTCTAATTTATTAAAATGCCCTCAACAAGTAAAACTATCAAATTTTTTCTCTCTCTATATTTAGATATATAAACATACACACACTCACATATATCATTGTGATCATCGTTAGATGGTGATCAGAGCTCAGTTATGGGACTGTACAATTTCTGGCATTTGGACGGCGACAGATCAGGAAAATGCTGGCCGTTCGATTTCGAATTTGCCTCTCGTTTACTCTTTGAATTGCCTATTGCTTCAATTAGGTTTCGAACGCAACAAACATTTTCGTAAATCAAAATCGATCCTTGTATGTTGTAGGTCTTCTCAAGTAAGCTCCAATGGCAAACCCAGCGACAACAATGAAGAACGTGATCACGAGTATCTTGAAGCCTCCGTCCTCCTTTCAGTTCTCAAATTTCCCGTTCACATCGTGCTGGAATACATAGCCGTGGTGGTTGTGGGGGTGGTGATGGAGGAGATTGTGCTGCCAATTTGGTGGTGGTGATGGTGTGTCGGAATACACAGCCGTGGTGGTGGCGATGTTGCGATTATGTTGGTGATGGTGCCCCCCGATTGTGGTGGTGTTGGTGGTGGTTGTTTCGTCATAATACAAAGTGGTGATGGTGGTTTTGGGGGTGGAGACGGTGGTGTTTCTTTCGCCAGAATACATACATTGGTAGTGGTGGTGGTGGTGGTTGCGGGGGTGGGGATGGTGGTGGTGGTGGTGGTTGCGGGGGTGGGGATGGTGGTGGTGGTGGTGGTTGTGGAACCAATGCTTGCCGGAAACCACATAACTCGTCGATTAGTTGTTGTAGATGAAGGAAAAAGCAAAGTCGAATTGGAGAGGGAATAAAAAAAAGTGATAAAAAAAAAAGATGAAATATAAAATGACTGGAACAGTCTTCACTTAAAATGCTTAACAACCAAACTTAGGGGCTTTTATTATCCAAAACAATATGGGAACAAGCTTATCATCACATGAAGGTGGGGATGTTAGCTTTCCCCTAGTTGTATACATAAGTGTATATATATATATATATATAAGCATATAAGCATACTTCAATCAAGGGTAATATGGGAATTTTAATTTATTAAGTACATGACATCAGTAAATTCCGTCTTTGACTTGTGTTGACTGTTTAAAATGGAGGTCTGTGTAACAATGTTTCATTTTCAGGTGAGGTTCATATAATTTCTCAAACCATAGGAGAGGTTGTAATTATGGCAAGCCATAGGGGAGGTCCGTGTAATTTACCCTAAAGTTAATTCTGTTTCAGCAAATTTATAGCATTACTGTCAAGTCATCAACTTACATGATCACATTGTTTGGATACACTCATTTCTTTTTACAAAGTTGTTATTTCTATTGTTAAAGAGCTCATATGGTTAAATCTATATTACAATCATATTTGAAATTGGAAATTAAATCATTTGAATACCAATGGATGTTTACAATATCTGGTTCTTGTTAGTCAACAGCTACATTTGGACGAACAACCATTGATTCTTTTTTTTTTTTTTTGGGTTTTGGGGGGGGGGGGGGGGGCGGGGGCGGGGGGGAGGTGGTGGTGTTTTGTGTTTATTTAGCTTTTAAACGTTCTTCCTACATCACAACATTATTTGCAGCCCTGGCAGATTATTGTCCAGTAGTTGCTGCTACTCTTTCCCTTTGCCAACTCTCAATTCAATAAATAGGCTCTGCAAAGATTTACAAGCTCTATCCTAAAAGATTTCTTATTTATACGGAAAGAAAGAAGTGTACACATTAGCTAAATTCTTATATGTTTCAATGTAGGCAACCAATAAATGGCATGGATAATATGAGTGAATCATTTTATAATGGTTTCAAGTGAATGATTGTGCTTCATGACTGAATGGCACCTGCCTTGAGTTGCTTTTGACTCTAGCTGCCAAGCCAAGAATTTTAAGCCATCCCATAGCATGACGAGGAATGCCAGAGTTCCCCTGTCAATGGACACCAACCTCATAGAGCTCCATATGCTTTGCTTGCAACTCAATCTATGTCTTTTGTGCCCAGGGATCATGTTTGATGTGCCTTTAAGGGGTGCTTTGTGGGCATGCTGCTGTTACACTTGCTCTCAACCTCAAGGCGGGTTAATGTGCTAGTGGGCATCTGCCTTGGTGACCTACATCCTCTGCCAAAACAAGGCCCATCACCAAGGTTGCCAAAGTGGACAAGATGGTCCCCATGCATGGGGCTTCAACCGGATCACATGTTGCTATGAATTGACAGTGTGCCAACCTCTATATATTGATACTTGCGAAGCTCTCTTAGCTGGCACATTTAATGCATTCAAACAGCCACACATTTGACCACAACATGCAATCACCAACACACACATCACTCATCCAATTACATTGAGCCATATATTTTTTTTTGTCAATTTCTAACAGAGGATCTATCAAGCCTAGGATCGTCACACAAACGCAAAAGAGAAGGACAAAAGGTGATATGCTATGTTCCAGGGAGTGTTTGGTTAATGAAAGTGGTGCTGAAATTGTTGACCTGTCCAAGGCGGTGTGTGTGCTTTTTGGCTAAGGAAAAGTAAGGGTGAAGGAAGCTACGAGTATGCTCGCCTATAAATAGAGGTGCATGGCAGTGAAGAAAGTAGGAAGAACAGAAAGAGTGAGTGAAGAGAATAGAGAGAAAAGAGAGGAATTATTGTGGGCCAAGAGTGAGTGTATTTCTTTAGAAGAGGGTGTGTTTCCTTCTTAGTGAGTGTGTGTGAAATACCTCTTGGTAATCGGTTTTGAGTGTTGTTAATTCTCTTTTCTGTAATAATAGTGAGTGGTTCTTCATCCATGTGTAAACCTTGTTTTCTGTTGAGTGTCTTATTTCCATCCTATTTTCTCTTTATTGTCATTGCATACTTGTGTGTGTGATCTTGGGTGGATTAATTCCTAACAAGTTGTATCAAAGTTGGTACGAAAGGGATTAATTCATAACATCCTCCAATATTTTTCACCATGAACAATATTGCCCATATTTTGTCAACCTTTTGCAATAATTTGTGAGGCAGCAGAAATCAACCTGGTTACACTAATTATTCTAAGCTTGATTTGTGTGAGATAATGTTAGTATTCTCGTAACGAGCTCAAGATTGGCTTGGTCACTTACGTAATGATCTTTGAGGATCTATTCATACATTTTTTATTTTATTTTTATTTATTCTGTTTCCTTTTCTTGATCTCATGTTTAATTACATGCAGGATGGTGAAAACCCAAAACATGAAGATAGTCATGCTAGTGGCGGTGAGACTGTTACTTTGATCAAAATAATACTACCTATTTTTTTGGATTGAAATTCTGATCACCAGTTGTGTGCTGGAATAGTAATTTATTTGTTGTTTATATATGTTAATACAGCAATTTCGCCATCTGCACAGCAGATGCCCGGGAAAGATAAACTTGAGTTTCTCCTTGATATATTGCAAAGGTAACCCTTTCTTATTAGTAACTGTATTTGGCCAACTTATCAGGCTCTTTTTTCTTTTATTACATATATATATATATATATATATATATATATATGTATAAGGAAGAATTTATTGCAGCCCTTGAGATTTTGAAGAAAAAATAGTTTCAATTATACAGATTTTTTTTTTGACATATGGTATCTTATTTATTCTTCCAAAATTATAGGAGAGATACACATGAAATATTTGCTCAGCCAGTTGATGGAGAAGAGGTCAGCATTCGTTTCCAGATTTATATATTCAATTTGAATTTCTTTTCTAATCTTCAATGATGATGAGTTTCTTGCTTTACTAGGTGGAGGGATACTATGATACTATTAAAGAGCCAATGGATTTCGGCACCATGAGGGCTAAACTTCAGGAAGGAATGTATACTACCCTGGAACAATTTGAGGTTTGGTTCCTTATGCACAATTGTTTTCTCCTATCCTTTTTCCTATTCTATATTACCCTCCACTATTAATAGCATGAATTGCCAAGATGGTTAACCACCCATGAATTTTATTCTCAATACATTGTCCTAGTGGTACAATATGTAGCTGGGTTGGTGACATAGTGTAGAATTGTGAACTTTAAAGTGTGATCATGTAGATATATATATATAGAAAGAGAAAGATATATATATAGAGAGAGTTCCCCCTATTGCAAACTCATAAATTTTCACCTTATTCAGTTCTGGAATGTTATATATATTTATTTCTAACTAATAAATTATTCTCTGAACTATTATTTAGAAGGATGTATTTCTAATATCCAGCAACGCGATGCTTTTTAATTCATCCACGACCATCTTCTTCAGACAGGTGGGTTTATTTATTTTATGAGAACGAGTGATTAAGAAAATTATCTTCTAACTTATACAAAATGAATCTTCAGTTCTCTCTTTTAATTGTATTAAAATCTTGCGACTTTCAGGCCCGTGCTATACATGAGCTGGCTAAGAGGGTCTTTCATACTCTCAAAACAGATCCAGGAAGAATTGAAGATGAGTTCTCACATACAAGAAAAAGACCTGGTAGGAAACCCCAAGGTGAAGCTGGACCTTCACGCACTAGGCCTGCTAATCTTAGGAGAAATGCCCAAGCATGCCGTGGGTCATCTAGTTCAGATCCTCTTGCTGACCAAAGGGATAATGCAGTTCTTCCTGGTAAGAATCTAGCCAAACTAATACTTTTCTAGACACCAGCACAATCCAAAGATGTTGTGGTACTCTTGTTAGACTTTTATGGACTGGAGTACTCTACATATGCAACTCATTCCAAATATTTTATATATTTTTTCATCGTAGTATGGCGAAGTGATTACATGTGTTTCCTACCTTTGACATTTGTCTCTATTCCTTGTGTGCAATTTTTCATTTTACTCAGCAGAAAGTAGTACATTGTTTAGGGGCCTTTAGGCTGACATTTATATAACTTTTACTAGTTTTTGTGAAATTGTTTAGCTCACATAATTTATGGGTGAGCGAGTTCATTGAAGTTTGTTCTTCATACTTGTGTTACCTCATATCTTTGTTCCTAGTTTTTGTAAAATTGTTTCATTCTTATTATTTGTGCAGAGCACTTATCTGCATTAATAGTCTTGCATATCCAAAATCTAGTCTAACTTAGTTGAAGTTGTTTGCCAAACTTGTGTTATCTTGAGTAGGTTTAATCTTCTTCTTCCTGTTCTAGCTTTAGAAAATATGAGTTTACCTTCTGAAATATATATAAGTTGGAAAATTATTAGTGTAGATGAGAGAAATTTACAAAGATAGCTATAGACACCATTCTTTTCCAAGAAACTTGAAGATCAGAAAACAAGGGTTCAACGAAAATTTGGGACCTATACAAGTACTTTAATTTTGGGAGAGTAGATTCATGTATCAATTTTAATCTTGAAAAATAGTGGAAGCAACTGGCATCTAATACTTACTTTTCTGAAAAAACAAAAACAAAATAAAAAAATATGAAAACCGGCTATTTTGTAGAGTCTAAGGTATATTGCTAAATTATCATGATCACTTTGCCTCAAAAATTAGAGGGACAATATTTTATACAATCAATTGAGTTCTTTTTCTGGTGGCTTTGAAATTAAATAGTTAAGCTAATGAGATTATAAGCTAACCTAAAAGGTGAAATAAGTTAAATATATTAAAAGGGAAATTTAAGATAGGAGTCCACTCGAAGGAGGACTTACTTGCTTTGAGATATTCATTAATTGTTCATCTCCTTTGGCAAATGTGCCATATATAGTTGGACATGGAAGATGGGAAAGGGTGAAGATATATGTAAGCTTACCATTCTAATGTGTTGGTGAAGATATATTGAAAAAATTGACCTACCTTAACAAAAACTTGGGCTTCTTCACCCCCCCCTTTTTTTTTTTTTTTCCTTTATTTATTTATTTTTATAAAACAAACCAAGCTTGCAAATTTATTTTTTTTCTCCCCTCAATGAATTATTTCAAACATATGGAAGGTTTGGGAGCTCCTTTCATCATTCATTAGAATGCTCTACTGGATACTAATGGTGGATAATCAAGTAAGAAATGAAGTGTTTTCCTTGACAAGTGTTGAATGTGTTAGTGGAGATTTGTTGATGAATCATCTTCTGTTACACTGTAACTTGGCTGGTGAGTTGTGATCACTGCTTTATGTGTTCATTTTTGGTGTTGCATGGTGATGCCTCTATCCTTACTAGATGTATTCAAATGGTGGAGAGAGAGGATATTGCTATGATTATACAAAGTATCTTGGAGAAACAAGTATTTTGTTTGCTTTTTTGCCTTTTGCTATGTGTTACGACAAACGCAGCGAACCAAGCAACAATTATAAACACACCATACAAAAAACACAAAGATTTATACGTGGTTCGGCAAAGCCTATGTCCACGGTGGAGATCCGGCGTAAGTCTTCATTATGTGTAAAATCAGAGATTATAAGTTTCAGCCCCACTCTCTCTGTATGATTTTTAGTGTCTCTTGATGGTCACACTCCAAACCCTAAGCACCCTTATATATTGGGCTATAAGAGAGTACTAATTAGAGTTCACAACCCATGAGCAAAAACAGGTCAAAATTTTTCGATCCAACGGGTTGTCGGGGCGCAACGCGACCCGTCACCAAATTCGGGCCACAACATCACACTATGTAAAAGTGATACTCAATTGAAAGCAGCACGAACACATTATATAACATAGTGGCAAATTTGGCAATCTTGTTAGTGGTTACCCAGGCCACAACATCACACTATGTAAAAGTGATACTCAATTGAAAGCAGCACGAACACATTATATAACATAGTGGCAAATTTGGCTATCTTGTTAGTGGTTTTGGTGATAACCTAGGAAGCACGAACACGCCTAAAAGGGCAAAGAATCTGTGTCGGTGTCACCGGACACGCTCCGACACGTGTCGGACGCGTCAAAATATGTGTCTGAATATTTTATATTCTTTCGAAGATCCGAACATGTCGTGGACATGCTTCCGACATTCCATGGATATGTGTCCGAAACGCGTGTCTCACTCTTTGGGGATTTTAAAGAAAGTTTTAGAACAATGTTGAGTTGTAAATATTAGGAGTTGTTTAACTACATAATTACTTAAAAACTTGTGGTTTCATAAAATAATTTTATGTTCAAACAATTATATATTTATTCTTATATTTTAGTTCAAAGATTGGAACTCTTGCACGATCATGTTTGACTCCTTGTTGTCCCACCAACCAATCTTCGTTACCGGTGAATGGTCTCTCTATCTCTTTCTCCTCTTTTCTCTCTTATTCTTCTTCCTCCATTTCTTCTTGTTCTTCAAAAACCCTAAATACTTCTTTTTTTCCTTTCACAATAAATTTCTTTGTCTCTTTTTCCTTTTTCCTCTATTCCCCATGAACTTTTTTTTTTTTTTCTCTTCTATGGATTCTTACCTTTATTTTTAACCAAGGCCTAATGCTTTTTTAACAAAACCCTACTCTTCTGTCTCTCTCTCTCTTAATTTTTTTTTCTTTTTTTTTTTTTTTTTTTTCCTCTCTCTCTCTCTCTCTCTCTCTCTCTCTCAACCCTCTTTCTTTCATTCCTTCTCTTTTTCCAGCAAAACACTTTTTCTTTTTCATTATGAGATTGTTAAAAAGAATATAACTCTTAATTTCTTAAAAGTACAACATCATATATATAGAAAATATATTTTTTATTTGCCGTGCTCCTACCGTGTCGGTGTCCAAATTTTTAGGATTTCCGGTGTCGCCATATCTGTGTCATGTCGTATCCGTGTCCCATATTTGTTTCCGTGCTTCTTAGGTGATAACAGTGGTGGCAATGAAGTCATAATGGCAGTAGGTGTTGGTGCTGGTGGTGATGGTAGCAGCTAGCACCAACAGTTGTGGAGGTGACAGGTGTTTTCAGCAGCTTGCATCTATTTTGTGCATAATGTCTATTTTAGAAGTCAGTGGTAGGAATGCTGATGCTGCTAGTGTAAGCGCAATTAGTGGTCAAATGGTGGATATGATGGTGATTGAAGTGATAATGATGGGTGTTGGTTTCTAGGTGGTGCTGTGTTATGTGCTGAAGTGATTGTTTTCTTTTTGAAAGCAATTATGGTAAAAACACTTAAATACTACTAGAAACAGCACACCCAGGGTGCATTATGGAAAAGAAAAAAAAAAGTAAAAGAAAAAATGGAATGCTTTGTTTCACATATGTGACTAAAGCAGTGGCATATTCAATTTTATGTAGAAATATTGTCATAAATTGTGGATGTTTACTGTTATGGTCATTCTATGGGACTACAACTGTTTAAGGACATTTTTCTTTTTATTTATTATTATTTTTTTGGGTTCTGGAACCAGTTGTGTTATAATTTTTTTATAAAGCATGAGTTTGTAATATGGTTGTATATAGGTAACTATTAACCCTTTTTCTCATCTAAGCCTTTTCCATTTCATCTGGGATGTTTACTGAATTATGTGAATTAATCTTATAGAATTGAAGACTGGCTAATTTTTTTTGTTTTCCCGTCTCTAAACAGGGTCTGGAGATGGTGGAAATGTGAAATTCTGCCAAACAGAAAGGCGTCAAACTTATAAGTCTCGGTCTTCTTTAGTCACCCAGAACGAGCCCATTATTTCCATAGTTTATAATTGCTCGAATCAACTTGTCCCTGTAAGTTCCATATACTCAAACCCAATAAGAGCTCAACAATTTTACTTGGTCCAGCTGTTTCTTTGCTTCCATTTATGATTGCAGAACATTTTAATTTTTTTCTTAGATTATAATTATAATAACTTAATTAGAAAAGTTAAACTTCCTGAATTCAGAAAATATAATTGGTTTTGGTGTTTTTTTTTTTTTTACCTTGTTTGTGATCACTTGAGTGGTATGGAAGCTAATATGTGCAATAGTCTTTGTTGTTCATTCATGCCAATATTTGTCTCCTGTCTGATCTCCTCATGGTGGTTCTCGACTAGTTAGAGCTGGATTCACTAAGGTGTTGTCAGATTAAAAGAATCTTATTTAATTTTCCCATACTATATCTGGTCGTATTTCATAAAGTTAACTTGATGAAACATCCATCTGCATAGTTGGATATGTCTTTTTATTCATATTGGTTTCTTGACCTTTCTTACAAGCCAAGTCGGCATAAGCCGGCTCTCTCACAAGGAGATGGTGGACTCTACCATCTTGTCTAGCGAACTGGTTGTACGAAAAATATGCGTTAAACAAGACTTTTTTTAGGACATGTTCTCTGTTCACAAGCTGCATGCTTCATTTAGGGCGCAAAAGTTTGTTTATATTTTCTAAAGCATATGAATAAGGACATGCCATCTTGTCCGGATAATACGAATCTCAAACTAAGGTAAAATGACCATCATATTTCTATCTTTCCTTTATGATCTCCAACCAAATAGAAGGAAAGAAACGATAACCATGTTGTGGCAAAATTAGCTTTTAGTCAATATATCATTCGTTAAGTGTTGTTTTTCTTATGTTGTAGATTTAAGCATCTGTTACTCCAAGAGCATGATTTTTTGGATGATCCCAACTATATGAAAAAGCAGACCATCTTAGACTACATAGAGTTTCTATGCATGGAAGTTCATACATGACAAATATCAAGACAAGAAAATTTTAGAAGCTAGGATCATTCAAGCCTCAGCCTTCCCTTTATGCTGATTATGATCTATTTTCATGATGTTGTAGGGTGATGGAGGTCTGGGTTACAAAGAAAGTTTGCTCCAGTTTGTTAAACATTTGGGTCCAACAGCTCAAATGGTGGCACAGAGGAAGATAGGATCTATGACAGAGGCTCTAATATATCAATCCCAGAAATCTAGCAATTCAGTCGAGTACAAAGATTGTCTGATTTCTTTAACAACTGCGCAACAGGGACCTGTTATCGAAAATCAAATGCCTAGTATCTTTGGCAACAGGCCTGGTCATTTGGTTATAATTAGAGATGCCAATGACAGATTGGGCATCCATGCTGCTACTCTTAAAGGGAAAACTGTTGAACCCAGTGGCCTGATGGATATTCATGGTGCTGCTGCAAGTGAACATACAGATATTCATTACGCTGCTTCAAAAGGTAAAAATGTTTTTACTGGTGAGGGGATGGATATCTTCCGTCACCCTAGTAGAGGAATGAAAGCTTATGCAAGTGACAGAGTGAATATTGACCGTGCTTCAAAGGGAAAAATTGTTCAAACTTGTGAGGGCATGGAAATCCATAGTGGCACTAGCAGAGATTGGATGGCTCCTCATGGTGCTACTTCCAAAGGAAAAAATGTCGTCATTGGCAGTAGCATGGACATCTATGGTGGCACTTGTGGAAAAAACCTGAACGTTGCAAGGAACAGTGGTGCGCTTTCGAGGCTAATGGTTCAGCCAGGGGAGAACACGAGTCTCTTGCTGCAAGCTGCTGGGGAAGATATTAATGCTAGGATCGCAGAGCCCTGTGGGAAGTACATGACAGCTGATACAAAGGTGGATTCGAGCCAGTTGGGTGATCAGATCCAGCCAATTCAGTGGGCATCCGGATCACAATCAGGACTGCTCGAATTCCTGTCTAGAGGCTATCGACGCCCAAGATCACTTGTACACCCTTCAGAAGTGATCATGCCACTGAATTCGAGTCAGACCGACACGCTTTTGCATGCCTTGGACTCACATTCCCTGAGCGGAGTGGAGCAAAATAACTCTCAGCTGATTCATAATTTCTGCTCCACTCAGGTGAGTCAAGCGATGGAATGGAGTTTACCAACACCTTGGGGTCCACAGGCAATCTGTGATTTTCCGGATGTACAACAACAGCCTGTTTCAGTTCCCCACATGCAGGCTGAGGAGGTGAATCCGTTGGGCAACAACACTTTTCTGCAGCAGCAGCTTGCATTGGCTGGTAACATGCAACCACAGCCCAATGCGATTAATTTGTTGGGCCAGGATACATTTGCTCAAGGAGCACAGCTCGGAATGGTTCCTAGCATGCACCTTCAGCCTAGACATGCAAACCCATTAGACCAGGATGTATATGTGAGGCAAGACACCCAGCTAGCGTTGGATCAGCACATGCAACCGGAGCATACTGGCATGAATTTGTTGTGCCGGAACACGTTTCTTCAGCAAGGAGGGCAGTTTGCAGTGCCGCCTCAAGGGCTAGTGTTCAATGCCGGAAATGTCCATGAGAGAGCTCCACAAGGCCATCAAGCAGGGACTAATGCACAATTACTTTGGAATTTTCAGCAGCAAGCCTTGATGGATCCACACCACCCCAATTTGAATCTTCAGTTGTGAGATGGGGCTAACCAGACTTGCTGCATTTGGGTGCAACGGGCTAGTGCATCATTTACAAGTGGGTTAGTAAATGTAGATTCTAGGGTTCAATTTGTGGGGCTATTGGAACGTCCAGTCATGTTGAAATTGGGCTCGTAATTATACTCTCAATTTATATATTATATATATCACACTCCATTTGCATGGATACACATTCAGAGTCTGTTTGATCATCAGGGCTAACAGAGTATCTTGCATTCATTCTTTGGTAAGGTGTTTTATGTTTTCATCTATATATAGTTATATTCATGGTGCTGGAGCTTTATTATTGTGGGAAGACAATTGGACTACATTTTAATGGGTTACATTACACTACTCCCTCTAGTTAAGCCAAGTTACGCTGACCTCTCAAAAATTACACTGACGTCCCTTAAAAACAAATGTTGTTAACAGTTTTCCCTCAAGGGTCACAGTTAGTCAATAAATATTTTTTATTATATCATCAAATAAAGTTTTTAAAAATTGAACTTTACAATTACAATAATTCTAAAGACATCAATACCCTCATTTAGTAACACACTAACACACAATGGCTATACTGCCCTTAGCACTCCCTATACATAATAATAATAATAAATAAATAAATAAGACATAATTTTTCATATATTACATTCAATTTACAACTAACTTTCAATTAAATTTTATTAAATATAGAATATTATCAACACACTTCACAATTTTTGTAAAGCTTATAAATTTGCAATTTAGACATTGTTATTCCACTATAAATTTGATGAATTATGAATATTAAATAATTAAAAATTATATATATATATATCTTTATACATATTAATTTGTTTTTACCAAATATATAATATTCCATAAAATTTTCAGTTTTATAAACTTGGTTTTACAAGTTAGTTAGCAAATTGTAATATATATATGTTGGATGTTTCATTAAAATGATATTTATCACAATTTTTTGTTTTTTAAAAACAAAATTCTTTCATTAAAATGCACATTACTTAATTCATTGCTTTATTATTATTATTAACTACTTCAATCTTCTAGTAAGAGCACTTCTTAATTTTTCGTTAGGGAAATAGAGATGTTAAAAAAACTAAAGAGGGCTTTTTCATTCTATGACCTTGATTCGTGTGTAGAGACCTTTTTCATGCAAGAAGAAGATGATTCACATATAAAAGTTAGAATACTCATGGAATCGTTACTGTTAGGTGCAAACAATTCCTTTTGGGGGGAAGGTTAAAGGAAAAAAAAATACTCATATCAGGACTTGAGAAAGTTTTAGATCAATACACCAATGGAATGTTCTTCCTTGTAAAGATCCCTTTGCCTCGTTCTTCTTCCATGGAGCACCACCTTCACTTTAGTAGACTTGGTGTACTGAGCTTATGAACCGGCATGAGATTGTGCTAGAGGGCCGTGAGAGGCACTTAATTCCATTGTTGGGGTTGTATGGAGTCGTTCCGTATGTACCTGTGAGAGTGTCAATCTACGGGCTGGGGGTAGGGTTGTGGCCGGGCAGTGATTAGTCCCAAATATGATAATGATGTTCCACTTCATTTAATGTATATGTAGAGAGTCATTGGGTTAGAAACGCATTTGATATAGACAACTTATATATGACATTTGCCATATGAATTTTACTTTGCTTATCATGTATTTTGTTTACATGATTCATTTGAAAAATATTGTAAGAATAGAAATGACACTTGAACGCATCTTGTCGAAGATAGCGGGGGCTCATGTGCTGTTTATTTGAAACTTTTGGGGGAAAAATGTACTTTTACGAATCTCTGTGTCCTGTCGTACACACCCCATTTTTTCCCTCCCCCTTCGACCTACCAACCTTCCAAATCTCGAAAAGAAACGACGTTTCCATCTCTCGAGATCGACCATTTCCCCAGTAGGGCTAGCTTACGATAGAAAACTGAAAACAAACAATTAGACTGTCTGATTGGACATCAGAATTCACCATTACACTAATGATATCCCATAATAACACAAAATACCTCGATCAACCACATCACACACTTTCCAACACCCGATGTAATCAAATTGCATAAAAAACATCATTCTTCCAAAAGCAATCACAAGCGTAAACACATACACGTGCACATATTTTGAGAGCACATAAGTTCTCAACAACATCCCTTATTCGGAGATACCCGGTATGAATGGAGAATCGTTGTCTGTCAATGCGTATAATGGCAATATAATGTCTAGCAAAGCTTTTTCTATTGGCTTACGGGCCCAAGGTTTATGGTTTTTAAGTGGGACTGACGTGACCCTTCAATATTCCTAGAAGCTTATTGGTTGTATGTCATTAGAACATTGATTGATAATTTGGAAATGTCCCTTCAATGTATTTTCAAATAACCAACCAAAAGATCATGCAGAATCATTCCATCCGAAAAATCAATGCTTTACGACTGGCTTAGGATCATCATTACTACCAATGTATCCCTGACCGCACAATGTCTAGAATCGTTCCGACAAAAATAGGCGATTACGTAGTCTAATGATCTTGCCCATTCCTCCCAAGAACTTGCCTGGTTGTGCGTAAAAGGGATAGTGGTTAGTAATTTGGAAACATCCTCTGAATAAGTGAACATTTATGTCAGGATCTAATAAACCTCGTCTTCAATCATCCATCCAACATAGCACAACTTTAGGACACTTACACCATGGATTGCTTTCGGTCCATTTGAATCACAAATTTGGGTGAAGACCCTATAATACTCATTCAGGGATACCAAAATGTTACTGTCTTGGGTGGAGAGCCTATAATACTCGACAAGAGCACCATAATGCTCATTCTTCCTCATAATCCTTTCATCATCGGGTGAAGACCCTATAATACTCATTCAGGGATGCCAAAACATCTATGTCTATCTTACAATTCAACTCACCATGGGTGGAGACCCTACAATACTCATTTAGAGGTACCATGAGTCCTCTTTCTATCATTAATCATCATTTCAGGTGGAGACCCCCTAACAATACCCCTCCAGGTAGGCACATCGATGCTTGCTTCATTTCAGGTGGAGACCTCCTAAAACTCACTTCTTGAACCACATAAGGTTCAACTCCTCTTTCAGCGCGGACGGAGGTCCTTAAACTCATTTGGAGTCAATATTAACTCACCCATTTTATTTCACCAATCCTGTACCACATTTTGACTTGCTTCCCATACCTTAGGATACATAGGTAGCTTAAGGCACTCCTTAAGTTCAGTTATGTCCTCCACCGGGACTAACATCCATCATTCAATGTCCATCTCATATCATCTCCATCACCACTATCCATACCATGACTGAAAAACCCGTATGCATGTACCTCCTATTTAATCATCACATAATTATATGAATGGAAATGAAATTTAGCACAGGGTATAGGTAACCGTACTTCGTACGGGTGTCTTGGGGTGCCTAACACCTTCCCCAAGCGTAAAGAAACCCTAAAATCCCATCTTTAGTGAAGCAGACCACGAGTCATCCAGGCCCTCAAATTCAATCCAAATTCTTCACAATCTTTGGTGACCTAACACACTAAAACTCAATATTAGGTGGTGACTCCTTGAAATCTATGAATTTGGCCCTATCAATTATATTAACCTCCAAATCACACCCGTCGCATATAAATGCCGACAACGACAGCCTGACCTCCCAACCCGGGGGGGACAAAGCTTAAGTGGGTTTTTTTCCTCGTACCCCTGGGAAGAGGGCCAAGGAGAAAAACCATGACATGACAGTCAATCTTCAGTGGGAGTCCTTTGACCTACAGTGTGCCTGCTTAAAGACACTGTTTGTGACAAACTTCTGCTTTTGCATTACAGAACATAACTTTGGACATATCACTTGCCCCATCACTTATAGACCTTGACTTTGTACCATTATATGAGTCTACCATAATTGTCAAAGGATTTGATTGGTTTGGGTGGTTTGACCATGCTTAAGGGGATTCCAAGTTGCCTATGTATCTTGAGTTCTTTAAGAATCAGGTCGTTACATAGTTCAATAAAGATGTAGGGGATCTTGGGGTTATTGGCAAATAGGTAGGTTACTGTATATACTATAGGCTAGGGTGATATATGGTGTAAGGTAATGTGTGGTATGATCGAATCTAAAGATGGGCTACCTACATATCTCGGGTTTTGAGTGCCCAGGAATCACATCAAACATAGTTCAGGCTCGACCTAATGAAAGGGAGAGTGCGATGAACTAGATTTTAGCTGTAGATGTTGTTCTGGTTGTTACTTTTGTATGGATTCATTATTGTCTCTCCAATATTGAGCCTCAAATTGTTAAGCTTTCTTGATTAATAGGTCATAATTGATCAAAGCGAACTTTACTCTAGGCTATAATGGGGTCTCTAGTAAAGTGGTTTGAGAAAGGAAAGGTCATATTAGGCTAAAAAATTGACATATGCCTGGGTGATGAACTCTCAACAATTGCCTTATCTTGGGGCATGACGTCGAATGTCATTTATTGTATAAGACATTAATAAGCGAGATATTTCAATCCTAAATGGTCATGACCAATAGAAAAGGTCTTTAATTTGGACGGTAATTGAGATACCCCTCGGATCTGAGATACGGGTTGATCAGGCCCAGGCACAAACCCGAGGGAATATCAAACAATTAATATTTTATAATGAACACGGAATACAAAATAAATTAAGAAATGAAATTAAAACTGGAAGGAACTAAAAATAGAATCCGCAAAATATTATAATTATTAAAATCCATCAAACCCAAACTCCAAAACTCCATCAGTTTACAACTTGGGAATCCATCTCTAGTGGACCCCTATTAAACATCCAAACGGAAGATAGAACAACTGTAATAAACGTCCAGAAATAAAACTATAGAGAGAGCCCTACATCGTCGGAAGAGTGAATAAAGACCTCTGCTCAGCACGAACACGTTTAAGCCTGGAACTGTCGTGTACCTGAAAAATAGAAGTGGGTCAGGCCCACGCGTAAGTTCTATACTACTACAATCCAAACAGAGGCCCGATACGCATGTACATCCTAAACAATTCAACAATAGCTAATAGTCCGTAAATATATATATATATAGTCACACTAAATGACTCTCACTGGACTACAGGCCGGTCTCAACCTGAATAGAGGTAACATGCTAAAACGCACACGAAGTGGGCATATATACCTATACCTAAATAGGGTACACCTCCAACCATCGTAGCCAGCTACACATCCCGATGCATATACGCTCCCTAGCCATCGGTCCTGA